GGGATTTACAAACATTGTTTACATTTAACAAATACATTTAGGATGTGGAAAATAGAATTTATGCAATGCAATATGTGTGTGTGTGTGTGTGTGTGTGTGTGTGTGTGTGTGTGTGTGTGTGTGTGTGTGTGTTGTTAATGGTTTTTCAGGGTAAGAGTTCCACCTTTGTGTTTCGACGATACGACATTCCTCCCTGGATCAAAAGTAGAAAAAAAAATTCGGGAAGAAACGACAAGAAAGCCAAAACAGCACAAAACAAAAGGTGAGTTAGAAATACAAAACGGCACAAGAAAATTATACGGTAAATTTGATGAAAAACATCACAAGCAGCGCCAGATTTCGGAATGTTTCTAGAATAAAAGAATAAAAAGGTTATCCTCTCTTAAATCAGGTAAAAGTCGTTTTATATTTATCCGTTCTGCACTTGAAAGGCAATCTTAAAAGCGAGTGGCAATAAAATGTCAATGGTTCAAAGCCGCCGGCATTTTTCGTTTTTCCTTCCTTTCAATAATTATAAAAGCAAGAAAGACAACTTTTTACAAAAACACAATAAAACTTAAAACAAAGATTAAGCGATTCATAGGCAATTGCCGTACTACAAGCAGTATCAAGCAAAAACAAAAATGGAAAGAATTAATGATTCCTTATAAATACAAAATAATTCAATTTATACATAAAAAGCAACAAATGAAGTCATTACTTTACATGGATATAAAGAAAGTAATCTGATTTCACGGTCGGAAAAATAAAAATTAATAAGCCAAACTAAACGGCTTTCATGTAATCCCTTCTATGCAATAAAAAAAAACTGTTTTCAATTCTAACGAAAAAATAAGCAGTAAAACTAAGACTAATCACACATAGGATATAAGAAAATTCATCCTCCTTAATGACTTTTCAATATCAACTGTAGATGGAATTTAAAAATAAAATTACACGAGACTATGCAAATCTTTACAGATTGATCTTTGATACAAACTCGATTGAAAAACAGATTTGTATTACCAATATTCAATGTTGTTAAAATATTTCAGCTTCATCAATGACCATGTAATACCAACAGAAGGTGAAAATTAAAAACTGAACTACCCAAGATTCCAACAAACCTTTACAGATCGCCATAATTCTATACTAGAATATTCAAATTAAAAATATCGATCCGCCGGAAAAATAAAAGATTATTTCCGACTACAGATGAAACATTCTAACTTTACGAGATGCCCGTAAACCTTTACAGACTGTTAGAACACCTGACTTGTATGTCCAATTAAAATAATCATGAAAAACATATGCCAAAGAATAATAACCAGTAATCTACATCATCCGCAGTTTGGAATATGAACTGTAAACTTGAAAATAACTTAACGAATTACAAATGTGAGAAAATTAATTCACAGCAAAGACCATGGGATTTCTACCGTAGATGAGACATAAAAGTAGAACTACGCGAGATTCTGGCAAATCTTTACAGACGGTGACAATTGAAACTAGTGTTTTGGAATTAAAAAGTAAAACGAAAAAAGTTTCCTAAGACTTAGTAATTCTTAAGGTGGAAATAATATAACACACAACTTCACAGGCATCCTGTAAATCTTAACATCATGAGAATTACATCTGACTATCTTTCTTGTAAAATAAGTGTAAAAAAAAAAAAAAGCGAAAATAACCCACTTGGTAAATACAAAAATCCAACCCCCACAATGACTTTCTAATAGTAATTATAGATGAAACCTTCAAACAGAACTACTCGACACCCCTGCAAACCTTTACAAACACTGGCACTATCGAATTACTATGCTAAATTTATGAAGTACAGTTTCTTAGACTAGTTACTAACTCAGAAAGAATACTGCAATATCCATCGTCTACATACGCGAACTTAACCCAGGACAAGACGGTAAAGCCTACAAGACAGAAGAGAATGACACAATTTTCTGAAAATTATCAATATCTCACACTAATTCGTTGTGAACAGATTTCGTGATCCTCTGTAAAATAATGGAAGGAAAGCCAAAAAGGAAAAGTCTTCTATAACTTGCCATTTTCTGCATATCTTTCAATTAGTTAAGGTTTTTAGTTGAGATAAAAAAGTCAGTGTCACGAGCGGGATTCGAACCCACGACTTTCGGCTAAATACGCCGCTGCTTTTCACTTGAGCGTGCCTTCGAACCACTCGGACGCTAACTTCCCATCTGAACCGCACCTTTTGAATTTTCCCTCCTTTTTGTCAATTTTCTGTATATTTCAACTCATTTAACATTCCTTGAGGAAGTATGCATTGATGCCCAAACAGCCCTATTTTGAAAAATTGATTAATTAATTAGATTAGCATCATCTTTTCACGTTCACTTAAAACGCGCAGTAATACTCTTCTGTATTTTTCAAACCACAATTCTGAAAAACCCGTGAGGGCTTTGACGACTTCGCAAAACCTATAAAACATTCTCGGCTCCTAATCCGCAAGCCGCGTCCAATAAACTCGAGCATTACTATCATCCTTATCTGAATTTATACGAATTAAGTCCAGCTAAACTTAAGAGGAGAGTACAATTATATTTTCTCCTTTTAAAATATTGCTAAGCGTTTTGTTTTTTGTTTTCAAATTCGTACTAAAGGGAATTATTTGTGCGATTTTTTTTCTTTTCGAAATGAAGTTTTATCGCTCCTGTTGCCTTATATTGGGCTTAAAATTAAATAATTCAGCCTTAAAGTAGAATATAAGTTTAGATATGGAGTGAAGAGTTTGGAAAAGATGATGTTCTTTTTTTAAGGAAGGTTGTTTGAAGTTGGCGTTGAAATGACGACTACCTCCAAAACATTCCCGTTGTGGCAATAAACACTTTTCTGGACTGTTAAGTCGTCAAACAGGGCTTCAATTGACCTATCGGTAGTTTCGGAAAAGGCTTTGGCGGTTTGTTTGACCCAAAGGGCCGAAAGAAGACCGAGAAAGGTGTTTTACAACGCAGGCTGTAAAATTGGGACCCACCGCAGTAAATGCAGGTATGTACAAAGAAAATCCCCGACTACGACGAGAAATCGAGAGGATAATAAAGAAAGGAGGGAAAATTCAAAAGGCTGGGATGAGATGAGGAGTTGGTGTTCGAGTGGATCGAAGTGGAAGAGCAGCGGCGTATTTAGCAGAAAGTCCTGGGTTCGAACCTGACACTGACCTTTTTATCTCAACCAAAACCTTAATTAAAATTAATTAAGGTTTTTAGTTGAGATAAAAAAGTCAATGGCACGAGCGGGAATCGAACCTACGATCTTCGGCTTGATACGCCGCTGCTCTACCACTTGAGCTATCGTGACCTCGATCCACTCGGCCACCAACTTCCCATCTCAACCGCACCTTTTTGAATTGAGCTTTGGAAATTGGTGTCCGAGTGGATCGAGGTCACGATAGCTCAAGTGGTAGAGCAGCGGCGTATCGAGCCGAAGATCGTGGGTTCGAATCCCGCTTGTGCCATTAACTTTTTTTCATCTCAACTAAAAACCTTAATTAACTGTTCCTATTATTAGTGCTCACATCGAACTATAAGATTAGAGATAATTTTAAGTATTGCAAAGGATTATAAAATCTTATAGTTTCTTTACATTGTCAGTTGTATTTAAGTACTATTTTAGATAATGATCAGCTTAAAGGTTGTGTCCATGTAAAACAATTTGCAATGATGTCATAGTGGACCATGATATCACAGAAATGTTGTCACTGAGTACATATAAACTGAATAATATATAGTGCCAGTGAAAATATTTAGCGCCTGTCTGTTCAACTTGATAGAAACCGCACAATTACACAATTTCTACATTTAATCCATTTTCAAAATTTTCATTACTTGAATTATAATAATTATAGTGTTATGTATATTTTATACATTAAAATTAATTAAGGTTTTTAGTTGAGATAAAAAAGTCAATGGCAAGAGCGGGAATCGAACCTACGATCTTCGGCTTGATACGCCGCTGCTCTACCACTTGAACTATCGTGACCTCGATCCACTCGGACATCAACTTCCCATCTCAACCGCACCTTTTTGAATTGAGCTGGGAAATTGGTGTCCGAGTGGATCGAGGTCACGATAGCTCAAGTGGTAGAGCAGCGGCGTATCGAGCCGAAGATCGTGGGTTCGAATCCCGCTTGCTTTTTGTCTTAACTAAAAACCTTAATTAATAGTAATATATTAATTGGTCAAACGGACCACGAAATTAGTGAACTTAATTAAAATAATGAAGAAAGTAGGGATCGGCCAAAAAATGTTTTTATTTTATACAAAGGGCTATTGGTTAATTACCGTTTTTACAATTAAGACATGGATGATAGATGCTACGTTGTTTCTTTTTATGATAAAGGATTGAAGTGAAAACAGCCATCAATCAAATACCAGACTAAATGGCATTTGGCGTTTGTAGTCTGTAGAAAAAAAATGATTTTTTCGGTTTTACATATTGAATAATGTGTGGTGTTTAGTGCCCGTTACTTGATTATTTGGAGATCGTGAGATGCGGCCTGGTGTGATGTAGGTTTCAGAAAAACATTTTCTTTATCGTGCCAACGTTCGATATTTTTTGAGATCATCTTCAGGGCTCAAAGTTTTTGTTTTCTGTGTAGATGTGTCATTCTTGTCTGTCGTGTTGAGAGATAAAAAAGTCAGTGTCACGAGCGAGATTCGAACCCACGACCTTATATTATATAACGGCTTTATATTTATTTTAGTTAGCTCTGAAGTAGTTACATATCACGTTTTCATTTTTCTCTTCTCTCAGAGCAATGACGATCTCGATTTGATTTGATTAAGATAGTCAAGTGGTGGAGTAGCGGCTTATCAAGCCGAAGCTCGTGGGTTCGAATCCCGCTCGTGACACTTTTTTTCTCAACTTAAAACCTTAATTAATTGTATGATATTAATTGGTCAAGCGGACCACGAAAAATAGTGAACTTAAAGATCGAACCGTTGCACGATAAAGAAAATGTTTTTGTAAAACCTACGTCACACCAGACCGCAACTCACGACTACCAAATAATCATATTGAGTAATGTAACTCGGACTTTTTAAATCATAAACGTGTAGCATGTAGAAAACAAGACTAACCAGGCATGTCCATCAGTAATAGAAGTAAGTGTTTATTTCAATAGATGTTAATTATTGCAGAATCTTGTATTTTCGTAGTATAACAGTAGTTTATTTTAGTATTGCACTTTTTGAATAAAAATTACAAAAATCTTTGAATAAAACATATGTTTTGTTTCTTGTTTTCCATAATTTACAAGTTTTCAAAATATTTTTATTGTTGTTAACAAAAATAAATATGGTTAGTTATGTCCATCATGGGTTGTTGCTTCCGGCGGGATGACAGTGACAGCGAGGACGAATACGATTTAGAAAGGATGCTGGCTGAAAATAAAGTTCTCGTCATCTCCAGGCTGACCTGTCCGTTGTCGTGGGAGGCGAAGGACATCCTGTCCGGTAGCGGGATAAACTTCGCTTCTCTGGAACTTGACCTGATACCCGAGGAAGAGGAAGAGCTCGTCCGACAGCTACGGGCCATGGTATGCAGCAGGATCTTGCCTCTGATCTTCGTCAAAGGAAAGTTCATCGGTGGCACTGAGGAGCTGAGGAGGTTGAGGGCTACAGGCGAGCTTTGGCATATGATGGGTGTCAAAGTGCCCACCTGCTACAAACGGTTCAAACTTTGCAAGGATTTGAAAACGGGTGGATGCTGACATGCTGACAAATTTTTGTTTGATATATTAACACATGTATTATAATGTAAATACAAACTCCATATGAATATTTGCCGATTATTGTTTGCGTAAAAACAAAATAAATTTGAATGAAATAGCTTAGTAGAACAAAAGCCATCTAAAATTTTAATCACTGAACCAACAATTAAATTATACAAATGAAAAGAAAATAAGAAAATACTATGAAAAGGGGAAAGAAAAAAAAAGAGATAGATAGATAGAGAAGGAGTGAGAGAGAGAGAGAGAGAGAGAGAGAGAGAGAGAGAGAGAGAGAGAGAGAGAGAGAGAAACTCCCAAGCCATTTTGGTACATCTTTTGCTACTTTGGTTGAAGAACTTTAAAGACTTATTTTTAACGGGAACGCATTTCCAAGAACAAACCAATTGCTTTCTATAATTTCCTCTGGGGTCTGCGGATGGTGGCCTGTTTGATAGTTTTCGAACATTTTGGTCTGCCTATCCTCCTTGGTTTGAGACGCATACCAATCTCTGTCAGTATTGGCATATTAAAATGATCGGAAACAACCAAACTACATAAATGAAATCTTTTTGATGTCCGAGCGGTAGTGAATATGTATCTTGTTTATTTATTATTTAGGCTATTTTTGGTCTTCCTTTCTTCTTTGTTCTGACCTGTCAGATGTGCTTCGGTTTCTCACCATCTTCAATGTGCCTGCCATATTGTTCTTATGCCAAAAACGTGATTCAGACGAGTTGTTTTTTCCTCATTCTACTTAAAGCCCTAAAAAATCACTTATTGGGCTGGTCCTTAAGTTCTCCCATACATACATTCTACCTTAGGCTCTGCTTGTTTTGGGCTGGTTAGGCTGCAGCACACACTTTTGTTGGTACCATTTTTGCATCGTCGATTTCCCATTTGCGGGGAGTGCGGATCGGTTGGGCTAGGATAGGTTAGGAATGGATGGGTTTGGTAGAATTAGGAGTAGGTTAGAAATAGTTAGGCTTGCTAGGGTTAGGATTATGATAGGTTAGGAAAGGCTAGGTTTGGTAGGATTTTCTCTTTCGTTTCCAATTTGTAGGGGTTTGTTTTCTATTGATTTGTACCTTGTACAAGACTTGTACATTTTAGAATTATTTTTGTTATCTATATGTTGACACAACACTAATACTATGGCCAGTAAAATGACCAGTTCTGACCCGCCACTGCCCACAGAGAAGACACCTCTTCCTAATGAGTATCCTACCAGATCCCTTTTGCCGTTTCTGCGAAATAAAAGAAGAAACGGCAAAGCACTACCTCGCAGAATGTGATAGGTATTCTAGGTTTCGATTTGAAATCTTTGAAGGAGAGGACATCACCAAATCACTCCCCGAGATTAAATGGTCCAAAATCTTGGGGTTTGTGAACAAGACCAAGAGGTTTATGCAGGACACGTGAGCCGACCAAGTCCCGGACCTTTTAGGGATGGGGTACGTCTACCCAGGCATTTAACCCCTCGGGTCTTGATCGCCCACCCTGCATAATATATATATATATATATATAAAATGACCAGTGTAGTGAGAAGACAGACAACGTTGGCACTCAATCTGTTGAGCGTTCTTGTGATCGAAGGTAGTAGAGATGGTTTGAGCAAAAGGGTTAGGATAGGTTGAACGATTGAAGAAAAAATAAAAACGAGAATGCATTAATTCTTTAACAGAGGGAAAATTAAGGACACTGTGGATAGATGGGAAAACCATAAGGAGCTTGGAGAATTCTTCTGAGGAATTTTTACTGGAATGCTGGGATGATTTGGTTGTATGTCGGTGACTATGGTGACTGTCCCTTAAGGTCATGTGTGATTTCGGTTTTCGGTCCGAGTCGTCTGGCGAGGTATGGTCGCTTGTATGGGGATTCCACGTCACTCTACTGTATACGTGGAGTCCTACGTTTTGCACTTGCGTTGATGTCTAGTTCCTTGCTGATGACGTCTAGACGATTTTGCACCTTCTACTATGAGCTCAAGATACTGCTGGGTGTTAGAGGCGGGTTTGATAGATTTGAGTTAGGAGACTGTATCGTCTGCACAGGCTGTTAGGGAGTATTTGGCAGTATAAATAGTGTGCAGCATAGGCCAAGATGGTGGACGCCGCGGCCGGTCTTTTCACTGAGAATTCATTGATACACGTTATTTTGAAGCAACGATCTATTACATAGGATTTTAAGATGAAGTAACACAGAGTGGATAGTAAGCAAAGACGTTTTCTAAAGGTGGAAAATATAGGAGTCATGTGTAAGAAAGCACACGAATAGTATCAACAATGCTCGACCATTTTGCATCCATGGAATGACGAGGACAGAAACCGATTGATGAGAAAGAATGATTTGTATACGTCAAGTTTGAGAAAATTGGATTTTTGGAAAGATTGGACCACTGATGATGTCGAAACCCATTTAAGGGACAAAACCAACTACGTTATGTATACTTCGCGGTCACAATTTCTCAAGTGACAATTTGGTCAAAATTTACAAAAAACATTTTTATGAAAATTACCGCCATTTTTAGAAAGATGAAGCTTATCTATAGTTTTATTTAATTTTATATATAAACATCTATTTGGAAATTAATCTAGGTGGTCTGCGTGTCAATGGACTTTTGATGGCCATTATTAAAATTTATCATTTCTTGTCTAGCCGGGAATCAGATTCGTTTCGTCTCAACGGCATTTCGTTTAAATTTAAAAGAGCTCGTTTCAAAACCTCAAATCTCATATTTATATTTAACAACGCGTTCTCGGCCATAACTTGGTATAAATGTCTGATCGAAATCTTGATTTGTAAAACGTTTAAACGAGCCAATCGAAGCGGTTGATGATCACATAAGAAACCGTGGTGATAGGATCTATAGGATAGGAACAATACATTTCAAAGGCAGAAAGTAAAATGGAACTGGACAAAGGCAGCTCATCCAGAAGACGGCTTACGCTCAGAAATGGGGCCATTCAAGACACGAGGTAGTCCGGGTAATTAGGCTGGTCTTAAAGATCCTTTCTTGTCCAAGAACCCATGAGTAATATTTAGTTCCAAGTGTAAATAAAGAACCGTTTATTTTATTTTTTTCAACCATAAAATCTTGGGTAGATTCCGATTCCGATGGCCATTCCGGAATTCGGTGGAATCATTTAATGAGAGGACGTGGAATTTTTCAACCATGGTCGGAATTTAAACCCCTTGAAAGGCTTCCTGTGTAAAAATTCTAATTACAAAAATATCACAGGAGCTAAAGAAATGGTTTGTTAAAAAGAGAATTTCTCTAAAATTGTTTCGTAGATAAAATGGATTTCTTGTGTAATCTCCTATGTAATGACTGTTTAATAATCCACATACAATCCGTAATTTCATACTTTCATGACAATAAAAACAGAGCCATTAACCACCATTAAATTAGTAAACTAGATATAAAAAGAAAAAGTAGACGTTAAATGGGCCACCAGGAAAGAAACAAACCAAAAAATCAATCAGCTTTCAACAAAAAGCATAAAAGAATTAAAACCTACTACTTAGACACTACTAAGTAATAGGTAGTAAGTAATAGTAACTACTTTACTAGACAAAAACGGCATATGTAACAAGCAAATGCTGAGCGAATGCACCGAAAAAAAAGAAAAAAGAAGAAAAACTAAGAAGAAAACTTCACGTCATTTAAAGGATAACATGTAGGAAGAAACATGTAAATTGCTACAGATGTCATGGAAACACTCAACAATGCAAAAATATGACGAACAATGGACAAAAACATAAAATATACAAACACAACGCATTCAAAACGAAATGAACTCATGAATGTAAATATCAACAACTCACGTATTTCATTTACATAATTTATATACTTTACAAATTAAAAAGGAAAATAATCACTGAAATCACACAGACTGGAATATAAAAAATTGACTTAACTCGTTAAAAGCATCGATCGAAGTGGGAATAAAAGGACCCGATTGAACAAAAATCTCTCAGACGAACCACTGATGATGGCGAGAAATAAAATCGCATCTGACAGACCAGAACAGCGTGTATAGGCAGACCAGAGACGACAAAGCTACTTCATCGTTGTTTGATGAACAGCATGGTAGTTTCCAACCATTTTGGTCAGAGTGTTACTTTGTCGTTGTCATGACCAATGAGTGTGGAAAAGAAGACTGCAGTATCGGAGACCACCAAATGACTATTTCTTTCAGAAGGGTTTTGGCACTTAACAGTGGTTCATTCTATGTGTTATTTGGTCGTTGACACAACTTAGAGAGTGTAAAACGCATATGATTGAACAAATAGCAAGCAAGAGTAGGCAGACCAGGATGATCGAAGGCGTTTGTTAGCTTGGGCTTCGGGTACATCAGCCAGCAGACACCGAGGAGAAATCACATTTGGACTTGTCACGGACTTAACTACCACCTTTCCAGAAGGAAGAGAAAACAGAAGAATGTTGACACTTTGTCGTCTTCATTAGTTTCTCTGTGTGTTACTTTATCGTTGGCATGATTTAAAGAGTTAGAAACGCATTTGACAAGCCAAAACTACAAGACTAGGCAGACCAGGATATCCTGATACTATCTCACCTATTCTTACTGGTATTTTCAGTCCAAAGTTTCACTTTCTCCATATTAACTGGTTTTTCGTCGTTTTATTTTGTCGTTGACATGATCTGGAGGGTTCACAAAACTTCAGGCAGATCGAAATAGTGATGATAACAGACCATGATGATCTGGGATGACCAAACTGCTGCCTATTCTTGCTGGTATTTTCTGTCAAAGCCATTGTGGCACTTAGTTTGGCATATCCAATAGTTTGTACGTGTGTTAGGCCGATTGTAGGCATGACACAGAGGGTTTGAAAAGCCTGACCAGAACAGTGAGGAAAATCAGACCAGGATGTTCGGAAACGACCTACCTCCCTTCTGGAATTTATTGATAGAAGAGTTGGGTCACGTTGTCATCTTCAGTGGTGTGCTTATGTTATTTTGTCGATAGACAAAATAGGTTTATTTAATTTTGTCGTTGTCTTGATTTTGTTGATTTGAAACGTGTCTTAAGGCAAAACAGCTAG